ATAAGGATGTAATATTCATTATTCAATAAAATCAATTATTATCATATTGTATCATAGGGTCATTCTATTTATTAAAATGAGAAAATAATTGAAAAAAGTTATACATGCATATACATATAATTAAGGACATATACATATACTTAAAAAATAAAAAAACATAAACATATTAATAGTATAAAAAACTTTAGAATATTACAACTAAGAAAATGAAAAACTAATATTATTTGCCTTTAATTACTTCAATTCGTCATGCCAAAGTTGTATCTCTAGTTATGAGGCACCATCCCAAAGACTGCTTTCCATCGATTTACTGTCCACTGGATTATACTGCCCTACATGCAATTTTAGAAACATAATTTCACACATTTAATTAGTTTAAATAGCAACTACTCGTAAAACAATGAAATGTCACCATGAAATATTTACGGTGCCATGAAACATTTTCATTCATCAAAAGGAATTCAGTCACTGTAGAGTGGCGTGTAGTGCAATGACAAATCTTTGTTTTAATTAATTACTTTTTACACTTTTTGATGTGTTTTAATTATTAAAATTTATTTTACTTATCTTTTTTCATAAAAATAGATCAGATGTACTTTTTTATAGAAAAAAACTTTATTTTACGCAAAAAATAAAAAATGGGAAAGAAAACTGCCTCGCCACGCTAAAAGACGATGAAAGCTGAGCTGGCAAGCGTAGCATTGGCCTCTCCACGCCGCGGCCAATGCTCTTATATATACTTCTTCTATCTCAATTTAAATCGATTGTTTCAGTTTACGATGTTTGATTGAATTTATTTTGAATGCAATTTATTAAAGACTTGGAGTGAAATTAAAAATAAACTTTACATATTAAAAAACAACATAAAAAACTTTACGAAATAAAAGGTGACAAGACTGTTTAAATTTATCAAATAAATAATAAAATAAAAAGAATGAAATTTGATTAAATAAATAGTACGGAGTAATATTCAATTTAATTCGGCTAGGTCAAAAATTGAACATCCATATGACTATATGAGTATTTGACAAAACTTAAAGACATGGCCCGTCAACGGCTAGGTCAAAGGGGCCAGTAGTTGACCATATCCCGTCAACGAAGTTTCGAAGGGCCCAATTTTTGAACTCGTAACAATTTTTATCATCCAAAGGAAGAAGTGTCTCGGAGGCAATGGTAGTATAGGGTGGGAGTTGGAGGGGAGAGTAGTTATGAGGCCTACACAAAAAAAGATGACGCTCCATCCCCGAGGGTCTCTTTAAACCCGGTCGGACAATCACCTAGAGAAGATAAATTCGATTTTGATCGTGGATTGATAGCAAAGAGTGGAGCCTGCACTTGTTACTTGCAGAAGCCTTATGCTTAGCATAATTAATTCCTAGCACAGTTGCTAGAAATCAAAATCGGATCTTATTCCTTCAGCACTCCTTGCCATGTCAACTGCACAGCGCCCAACGGCGCATGAACCATTTACACGTCTAAAGTAATGGAGCACCTTATGAGTGTGTGCGTGTGTATAGATTTGTGGGGCCTCAAATCGGTGATTAAGGGGTGCAGGAGGCTGGTGCGAGAGCAGGGTGAAATTGATGGTTTGGAAGATTTATGAGGTGCATGTTCAAGATAGAAATCATCAATTTAACGAACTAAGCACTGTATGTTAGAATGGAAAGACCCCAAATCGGCGATCTAGGGGGCTGGGGTGGGGGCGGGGTGAAATTGATGGGTCGGGGCTTTAGGGGGGTGTTAGGATGGTATGAACCATCAATTTTACGAAGAGAGCACTGACGGTGCAGATTACTTTGAAAACTCTAACACTAAACTTTTTAAAACGCTAATCTCTAACGTTATTCCCAAACATGTTTGATGTATTGTTTAATTTGAAGATCTAACTTAGGTGGTAATGATCCCCAAGCGCGGATTCATTTATTTTTTGTAAAAATATACAAACTGTACGAATTTAAAATTGTATACAAAAAATTAAACCTCGATATTAATATTATATACTCTCTTCGTCTCTAAAAAATTACTCTCTCCGTTCCATAAAACACTTTTCCTTCCGTTTTTTTCCAATTCCCTAAAACACTTCCACTTTCTATTAAAAAACCACTTTTACCCCTACTTTTTTCCTATCCTACCTATCACATCATACTTTTTCACTAATAACAAAACTATCACATCTTACTTTTACCCATCACATCAGGGGCAAAATTGAAAAGTCAACCAAAATTACACTTTCCTTATTTTGGCCCAAAGTCAAAATGGGAATGGTTTTAAGGAACGGAGGGATCGAGTATCATAGTTTGACTTTTTGGTCAAGCTATGACCCCTTTTCATCACGAATTAAATATAGTTCGAAATAATTAAATATTATAAAAACTTTATATTTCAAAACTATATTTTAAAATAAATTTAATTCTACTAAATTTACATTATAACTAAATATACTTTTTCATAATTCGCAGTCAAAAGGTGCAACAGTTTGATAAAAAAGTTAAATTGTAGCAATCTTTTAAGGACGAATGGAGTATATGTACTTAGTTATCTTTTTGTCCAATAATCATCTTCTGACCTTCTTATTTGACTACCCAGATTTATCTCACTTTCCTTTTCTTTTTAATTTATAGCTTGTTTGGAAAGTTTAATTTCCCTTTGAAATTTAGATTTGACTTAAATTCCTTTGAAAATCTTAAAATTTTAGGTTTAGGTTTGAAATGAAATGCTAGATTCCAAATACTCCTTCCCTGCCATATAATTCTTTTTACATTTTTCTTTTTGGACATCTAATAAAAAAAATTTATGCTTACTTTATTTCCTATTTTACCAATAATTTTATTTCTCTCCCTTTAAACAAATTTTAATGATCATGTTTCAAAAGAATCACGTCTTTAAAATTAATAATTTTGATGTTATCTTCTATCTAATTATGATCTATCAATTCTACATATCTCATCCTACTCTATTATATAAATTAAAATAAGGGTAAAATTAGAAAATAACATTAAAATTACACATTTTAAGAGTGAACCTTTTTTTCAAATATGACGGATTTTATGTGACAGAGAGAGTATTACATACTCCGTATTAATATAATGAAATAAAATTTGAAAATTATCAGTAAGATAAATTTTACTCCCTCCGTTTTCAAAAACACTTCCTCTTTCATTTTTTCCACTTCCAACAAAACACTTCCCTTTTCTATTAAAAAACCACTTTTACCCTTACTTTTTCATACCCTACCTATCACATCATACTTTTTCACTAATAATCTATCCATCACATCTTACTTTTACTTATCACATCAGGGGCAAAATTGGAAATCAACTATAATTAAACACTTCCTTATTTGTTGCCCCAAATCCAAATGGGAAGTGTTTTTCCAAACGGAGGGTATAAAATCTTTTTTATGTACAGCAAACTTTTTATTTAATTTAAACTCAAAGTTCATTTTGTTCGTCCCGAAAAAGTTAAAGCGGACAAATACACTCGTACCGGAGTATATATGTACCTGCGTGAGAAAACTGCTGATTGAAACCATCGAGTGGGTGTTGGCAGGGGAGGAGAACCGCCGCCGCCGCCGATGTGTTCTTAGTCTCCCACCGCAGTTTTTGAAAATTATTCTGATGATGATGATGATGATGGTTGGCCATGCCAGCAGCATAAACGTTATTGTTATTATATCCCACCACCGCCGGATTACGACTATTGTTGTGAATGTAATTATGCAACGGATGGTTATTATTATTATTGTTGTGGTGGCCGCCCCACCCAATGTGCAGGGCGGCCGCCGCCGGGTCAAACTGATGTTGACCCGTCCTGCACAACTTGAGCTCCTCCAACACCCGCCTGTACTCCCCGAGGGACCCCAACACGGGGTCGCTCTGGCGGCAGACGGCCTCCCACACCAGGGACTCCACCGCCCGCTGCCGGTCCTCCTCCCGCACACTCCTCACCATCTTCGTCACGTTGCTCACCCCGAACACCTTGTGCACCGCCTGGAATTCCCGGCTCTTCTCCGCCGGGAAATACGCCGCCAGCACGCACTTCTCCGTGCACTTCTTGCGTTGGTGCTTGCATGAGGCACACGCCCCCGCCGCCGCTCCTGCCGCCGCCTGAGACGACGAGGACGTTGCCCCATTTATATTATTATTATTATTATTATTGCTCTTTTGCATCACTATAATACGGAGTTTATATTATTGTTATTATTTTTAAAAATACCATATATACATACAGTTTGTACAATTTAATTATTATAGTATATACTACTCCGTGGAATATAAGTAAATGAAAATGAGAAAATTTATATGAATACTTAGGTAATATTTTATGCCCCAAAACAATGAAAAGAGTGTTCCGGTATTAATTAAGTAATTAATTTACTGCGAAATTCGACAATATAATATTTTGAAAGAAGCTAGGATAAGAGTAGATGAATTAAAAGTTTGAATTCATTAAACAATGGAAAGATGGCTGTTTAAAAAAAAGATTTGTAGGTGGAGATATCTTTGAGTAATGCATACATGACTTTTTTTTTAAATCATGCATGGATGTGACCCAGGTTCTTTTAATCTCCACTTCAAAATGTTACAGTATTTTAAATAACACCATGTATTTAAGACCTCATTTGGAAATGTTGTTTTCGATCAGGCATAGCACTCTTGTTTTAGAAAATATCTTAATGATGTAAATTAATTTTGAAAACATTGAAGCCTTTCAAAACGTATGATATCGCTAACATCTAATGCTAATGTCAAACGGAGCATAAACCTATAACATACCACATCAAACACGGACAATGATAAATTCCAATACTCCATATATCAAAGTTAATATTTTTTTAAAGGAAGAACGTAACCTCAATTTAAGATCTTCAGTATCGGCTTACGAGGTGTGATGTGGGGGTAGGAGTAACAACAACAACAACAACCCAGTTGAATCCCACAACAGTAGGGTCTGGGGAGGGTGTGTGTACGCAGACCTTGCCCCTNGCACAAAAATATGGAAGAGAACACAGTATAGCACAGATAAGGCACCAAGTACAAGCAACAAGTACAAACAATAGCAAAAGATTCCCAACAAATACAACACACTACAAAACAACCTCTACAACACCGAGCTTCTATCCAGCTACTCTAATCCTAGTTCTCCAAAGGTTCCTATCTAGGGCCATATCCTCAGTCAGGTCGAGAAGTCCTAAATCCTGTCTTATCACCTCCTCCCAATTCTTCTTAGGTCTACCCCTTCCCCTACTTCCCCCAATAACTGTAAAATATTTTACAGTGGGGGTAGGAGTAAAATATCAAAAATATACCAAATAAGAGTTTAATATTTTTATTCTCGAAATAGGAGTTAAAAAATATTTACATTATCAATCATGATCATATACATTACCAAAAGGATAATTTACCTAAATAAGACTAAAACATAATGATTTTCTAAATATATGACCATATGTTTTTATTTTCCAATGTAGGAACATTGGTCATTATTCATTAGTCATTATTCAAATAAATGTCCACCATCACTGGACATTATTCTCCCACTAGACATTGTTAAATCATATTTAGGAAATAAAAAAGTTTAAGTCCTACATTGGAAAATGACTGTTTTAATCCTATTTAGTGCAAATTTCACTAAAGTGAAGATTGTACTAAATATGACTAAAACATAAATCATTTTCCAATGTAGGACTTAAACTTTTTTATTTTCTAAATATGATTTAACAATGTCTAGTGGGAGGATAATGTCCAGTAATGATGGACATTTACTTGAATAATGACTAATTGATAATGACTAAAGATTCTATATTGGGGAATAAAAACATATAATCCTATATTAAGAAAGTCATTATGTTTTAGTCCTATTTAGGTAAATTTGTCTAAAAGTGAAATTCTCATCCATTTACAAATGTAACATTCTGGTTAATTCTCAATTAAAAAATTTAATTACTTATTTTGTTCTAAAATGTTTGCTACATTAAGGCTCTATTCTTTTGGGTTGGTATTTCAGAGTTGGATGTTAGAAAAAACTAGAAGAAATTGAGAATGTTGAAAAAATTTAAGTGTTAAAAAGTCACTCAATTAAATAATTACCCAAATACATATGTAAAAAAACTCTATTTTTAGATTTAAAAAATAATTCATCATTGTTTGTGTTTGATGTAATATATTATAAATTTGGATATATAATGTTATTTTATTTTTATCATATACGGAGTATAAATTTTATCATAAGTTGTTGGAAAAAATTGGAAGGAGTTGAAAGAAGCTGGAAGAAACTATAAGAAGTTGGAAAAAGTTGCAAGTTAATTTTTCTAACTCAAAAGAAGAAAGCCTAAGCAAAGCGAAACAAAATGTCAAGTTTTTTAAATTTATTTTATTTAAAAACTAGTATAGAAATAAAAAACAAAAAAACATTCAAAAACTACGTTAAAACTTCTTCAAAATAAAAGATAACAAGAATATTTTATTTGATCAAATAATTGATCTCGGACAAATAAACAAAAGCATCAGTAACTTATTAATAATGAATTGTATGTGACAATGTGACATTCTCTTTAGAACGGGAAGTACAAAATTGACAAAATGAACTTTGAAAAAAGAATAAGCCTCATTCGTGAGGGCTCTCTCAGATCCGGTCTGACGGTAACTTAGAGAAGATAAATTAGACTCTGATCGTAGATTTGTGGAATAAAATGAAGTTTGCATATGATAATTAGCTTGAAGAGACTTTATGTTTAGCACAGTCAACTCTCAATATAGTTAATAAAAATCAAACTCAAATCTTATTCTCTGTATTCTTACCTTTGTCAAGTGCACAACAAATTACACACAAAATCAACTTTTAATTCAAAATCTACTTTGAATTAAGAGTCTAATCATATGACAACTAAATAAAAGAGAACATTTGATGTGAGGGGATTGGAGGTAAAGATCTAAGTTGACCGGCCTATATGTCAACCGACAAGCCTTGGCCCTTTACCGTAGGCACATGTCACTTTGTCACGTTACTATTTCTCCTTAATTTTGTTTTATTAAAAAAAATGGGATCAATCACCTAGCAGTGAAGAATTTTGGTGTCAAATTCAAATCAATGAAAACTGTGTTTGCAAAACACAAAGTAGTGTTGCCACAAATGTGTTTGCGAAACACAAATCTGGTTGTTTTCTGTTTCTACGGAGTATTTAAAACATTTGTTTCTTCGTCTACTTGTCACACTTCCAAACAGCCTCCCTGTGTCAGCTTGACAACAACTTTAAAATTTTGAAAAAATTATCTAACGGCATCGTTTAACTTTAACATTTTTAGAATTAATTTACATCAACTAAAATAAGTCAAAGCGCTATCGTTAATTGAAAACATCTTTTTCAAATGAAGCTTAAACATGTTGTAGGTACACGAAAACCTTTGTACCTTAACATACCCCTCACATGTAGTTGAGAATTATTTACGTGAAGTTCGAAGTCGTGACATCTAGGCCAACAATGTTCTTTAGGTTTTTAGTCAACAATGTTCTTATACCATGTTAAAATTCGACCAAAAAATGATCACACTTTTGATTTCGTTGTAGATCTAGAAAAGTTGTATACTCTAACAAAGTAAAAAATTGGAGTTATTAAAATGCTTTTAATATAGGCCGCTCTTTAAGAGGATAACTGAAAAATTGAGTGAGGCATCTAGTTGATTAAGCTTGAGTGAATGAAAAAAATCATGTCTAACATGAGATCTTTGTAAGTGCAATATATTAACTCCACCCATTAACAAATAACAATGAAAATTGTGATTACAACCTAATTTATCCCTCATAGCTAAAAGTGTCTTAGCTTGTCGATTCTAAAGCCCTTGGAGATGAGATGCAACCTTATTTTTGTTTACCAATGAGACTCTTTAGAGTACTACTTTACACCATCCATGATACCAAATTTGGCAATGTTGTATCTCATAAACACACATAAACAACCGTAGCATGTGTATGTTTGTGAGAAACTAGTGATATAGTAAGTAGTGCGACTCAATTCTTTAAGAGGATGAAAAAAGTTAAACTTACTTGTGAACTTGCTTTAGAATAGATTCAAAAAAGTTGGTCACACACAATTCACAAACAAAAAAGTATGATCCTATTTGGTGTCAAAGTAAATGTGCATCAAGAAAAATTAAAAAGCTCTTGACTAGGTCAATTAAAGTCAATTTTCTTTTGTGAACGAGTGTTATAGTTACAAAACAACACATCATAGTCACATTCTCGTGACCACGGATACATTTATTCATTTAATGCAATGAATAAAAGTAGAGTGATGATTTTATGGTCTTAAGGTCCACATTTAAAATGTGGACACTCTACATATTTATGAACTTGAATATAAATATTTTCTTTTTTATATATAAATAGCATACTTCTTTTATGCTACAAATACACTAAAGCCCATGAAATGAGAATGGACCTTAAGTCTACGGAAGAATGTGCCATAAAAGTAAAGCATGAAAGTCTATGATCCTCAAGTTTGATATGGCAAAGCCATATGATAGAATTGAGTAGGATTTTCTTGAAGTTTGCTTTTCAATAGCCTGTTTACAGGAGGAGATAGTTGACATTTTCAATATTTGCAGAGAAACAACCAACCAAATTGTCAATTTACACGGTTGAGAGGTCTCTCTTATAAGAAGAATATCGAGAGAGAGAGAGAGAGGAGACATGAATCAGCGGACATTCTTCGGGTTAAAAACATGGTTGGACATTTTTCAGAAAGTTGTGTTAGCCTCAATTAGAATGTTCATAAAAAATGTTTGCTTCACTTGGAAATAACATTTGTGGATAGAGTTTTAAATAATTTTTAATAATGTAGATTAACATAGAAATGGGACCCACATTTGAGCATCACATTGAGTGATCCCACACGTTCTTTACATATTCCACTCAACATTCAATACACACATGCATTCTGTAGACGAGGATTTTTTAGAGAATGAAATTATGTGGTTAAGATTTTATATAAAAAAAAATACTCCATATGAGTTATTATAATCTCAAACATTTTTAAATAAATTTTTTGACGAACTAAAAAGAAAAGCCTGAAGAACACTTTGTGCGGGACAGTTTTCAAATTACCGTTACATAAAATCACATTCGATGTTAAATAAAAACAGGGAAAACAAAAAACATGGAAAACAAATACTCCTAAATGAAAATTTAAATCCATGTAATGATGCTTATGAACACACACACGCAGCCAGAGTCAAAGGTGCACTATACTTAATTAAAAACAAGTGCGTGCTAACATGCCCGGATGCCCCTGTTAATTAAGTTTTCTTCAAGGCACGGGGAAAGATCATCGATCATTTTCCTAACCCCCGTCGTTTTTTACCTGTAGAAATCAAAGTCCGTATCAGGCTTCTTGACATTTGTCCTGTACCCCTTCTCGAAGTCCTTGGGGAGAATGACATAACGGTTCTTGCGTACTGCATGCATTCCCGCTTCTTGACAGATTGCAGTGATCTGCCATTAAAAATCAGGGTCATTAATCCATTAGACAATGATCTTTACGGGCAAAAACATGTGCAGTGCCATTAAAATCTGCCTAGGACTCTCCAAAATCAACACAAAAACAACACGCATATCATGTTTGAAATGACGTAGTGTCCCATGTTTATATATATACAAGTCATGTTTGCAAGCTGAGGGAAAAATGTTTAGTGTCCCACTTCTATATAAAACCTTATATATGTCGTAACGTGTCCCACTTCGGGGTAAGGAAACTACATTTTCATGTAATTTACCAAAAGAGAGACATTAACATTTTACATGTGATAAATTTAGGTAAATCACTAAACAGATTTTTTAATCAGATTTTTTTAAATTTAAGTAATATTAATGATGTTGTACATTTTGTCAAACTGGAATTTTTTTGGACAGAGTAGTTTTAATATAAATTCTATCATCTATCCTATAGCCGTATGTACGAGTGAGTATTTAAGTTTCCTTTAGTGTGCAATAATAATTACACATAGTGGACACTCGTGTTTACTAAGCACACAGCTTCTATTTAGCGAGGAATACATTTTTCATAAATATACCCATGTTTGTACCATAAAATACCCTGGTTTTAATTAGCTAGAAATTTTGCATGCAATTCATTAACTTCACTCTTTTCTTTTCCATTTGTCCCAAAATAAACTTCACTTCCCCTTTTTCCTATTAGGTAATGTAATATGTGGCTCACAACCTTTCTTTCAAATCTTATCAAATTCCAACCATACACCTAATTTACAACACTTTTCTCAATTTCCATGAACTCAAAGCATAAAGTTTACTTCGGGGCAGAGAATATATCAATATATTTACCCAAAAAATTATCTCATCTTTATCAATCAAACTATACTCAGTTAAAAGAAGGTATAGGGGGGAAAAACCTCAGCTGCACTGATCTTATCTGGCCGAGATACGTAGTCTTCCAAGTCTACCTCATCACTCAAGTTCATTTTTGCAGTACAGACCTGAAAAACTTAAGCAGTTAAATATTTTTTGCAATTTGAGATCTAATATCTATCATTCTTTCATTGTAGTTGTGAGTGTAAGAGGGAAGTTAAGTTGGAAGACCCTAGAAAATCAACCTGGAAAACAAGCCTCTTTTGACGTCTATCAGGCAATGGAAATTCAATCTTGCGGTCAAGCCTTCCAGGACGCAAAAGGGCAGGGTCCAATGTATCTGCTCGGTTAGTCGCCATTATAACTTTCACATTAACTGTCTGGTCAAAACCATCCATCTGCAGGGAAACCCATCAAATTTTAGCCTATGATGGAATGTCAAAAATAATAGGATAGAAGAATATTTGTCATGGTAAATACCTTTTTATGTTGGTTTTTACATTGAAAAATATGAAGGAAAACCAGAATATTTGTTATAGAATTGTAATATAAATAAAACAAGTTTGGACAAATACTAAATTTGATTTCTTGAGTTTGAACAAAAAAAAATTCCATTATTTTCTCTCCTTGTCCCACTCTATTTTATTTCGCTAACATTTAACAGGTTCCAAACGACTCATAAACTCATAAGCAAAGGAAATCATGTGACAGCTTCTTAATAAAGTTGAAAGTAAAACACATTCATATGAACTTTATTAACAAACAAAGAAGAAACTTATACCTGATTCAATAACTCCATCAGGATACGCTGAACTTCTCTATCAGCTCCAGTCTGAGCATCAAACCTAGCAGTGGCAATCGCATCAACCTCATCGATAAAAATGATAGCTGGGGCATTCTCTTTGGCAAGGCGGAAAACATCACGAACCATACGTGGACCCTGCAAAAATATGTGAGTGGTGGTAACGTGACACTTTGGAGATGAGGATATGCATAATGCATCTTGATGAGTAATTCTATGCAGAGAGGCTTACTGCTCATATGGTTAAGGCTTGTGAGTCATATGCCATGGTTTTTTAGTTTAGGCTTTAGCCTCATAGCTTCTTCCATCATCTCCGATGGAGCCAAAATTTCACCATTTTTTGGCTTTGGGGTGTGATGGAATAAATCAAAATGGATCTCTAAACTGTCTGCGCTTCTTTAATTAATGAAGTAGCAGTTAGTCAAGCAATGCAACTTTCGACCTTGAGCCGGGGGTCTCTTTGGAAACAGCTTCTCTACTTTCGAGTAGGGGCAAGGTCTTCGTACACACACCCCCTCCCCAGACCCTACTCTTGTGGGATTTAACTGGGTTGTTGTTGTTGTTGTTGTTGTTGCTTTAGCCTCATAGCTGTGATGGGTTTTGAGACACATTCAATCTTATTATTTTAACATGTAAAGTATGTTAGTGCTTTTATTGGCCTTACTAATTTACACTCATTAAAGCCACTAACCCAACAAATAACAATATGCAATCCTTTGTTGTGGAGGTTTATATTCAATAACTCCTTGCAGAGTTGCAGTAAACCCACAAAGAAGCTAGTTTCTCTTATTCCTAACCCACAAAAGGCACCTTTTTGCAAATGAGAATAGTTGTATAAGACAAGATGTGCACCGATGCACAAAGAGGCTTTGGAGCCTCGATGCGCGATGCACATTGATGAGCGGCTTGAGTGCAAATTAGGGACAAGTAGCAGAGCAGCTCTAAATTAGCAACAATACATAGAATATTTTGAAAGACAAGTAAAATTTCAGAAAGCAACAAAGATTCAATGTCACACATAGTACCATTGACATAAAAACCAAAAGTTCAAACAAAAACAACCAGTATCAAAAACAAAACATGTCACAAACAAAGAACGAGTTGTGGAACATAAAACAATGAGAGAAGCCTCAAAGAGTGTGTAGTTGCAAAACTCATAATAAAAAACAAAAATTATACAGAAAAATATATTGCTGAGTCTATGCTTGCTGCAACACTTTCATGAAGATGGAAAAAAATGTCCGGATAAAAATAACCTACTCGAAAAAAACTGGCAAAAGAAACAAAAAAATGACAACACTTGTGTCAAACTTGACAGAAGCTTGCGTTCTAGGAGAGTGCAAGAAACCAGTGCAGGTCAAGGAATTGGGAAGAAAAAGGGAGTCGAATGAGGGAGAGTCGCTGCAACTCTTAAGGTCGTATGGCACAAAGAAAATAGAGGCACAAGAGTCGCGTTACAAAAGTTGGAGCGCAACCCTAAATAACACCAATTTTTTAAAGTTGTAAGTGGTTCGAAATGCGTGCATTATAGCACATCAACTTGCTTCACATTATGCAATGAAGCGCTGTTATGTGCACGCCTCAGGAACATTGCCCGCGTCGTGATAAACAACCCCTAGCGCCTTGTGCACTTGTGCACATTGCACCTCAGGCGCGCTTTTCACAGCTTTTCCCATCACGGACAATGAGGAATGGGCCACTAAACGAGGAAGATTGATTATGATATTCTAATCTTATAACATGTTTCATGTTTGTTATCTGAATTTGAGTGATAGCTTTGTGCTTCATACCTAACTTTTAACACTTAATGGATATCCTATACGGAGTATCAACTTTGAGAATCATACCATAAGCCACCTTGCCCGTGCTTGCACACATAAAATGCATAAAGGCTTAATTCCTCCCTCTAAACCCAAAACAAATTACTCCGTATAAAATAACAACTCCCGGGATAAAAAAAATTGGTGCCTTTGGTGGCACAACTCAATTACTCAAACATGCAAATACTTGATGAGAAATGCTTGAATACATAAAACTTGGGGGCCTGTGGGAGATGTAAGACATAAATTGGTTCAAGATCTTGTAAAACACAACTTACATCTCTAGAGGAGAACTGAGATGGATGCATATAAGCTGTTTTTTGGGCAATAAAAAAGACACTCATTTACAAAAGAAGTGTAAAAAAAATTGTACAAGAATCAGAGCCAAAGAAAGTTTAAAAAACACTTGAGAACATACCTCACCCAAATACTTCTGCACAAATTCTGAGCCAACAACCCTTATGAATGCTGCACTTGTATGATTAGCAACGGCCTTGGCAAGCATTGTTTTACCGGTACCTGGTGGACCATAAAGCAAGACACCACGAGGTGGATCTATACCAATCTGCTTGTACAGATCATGGTGAGTCAAGGGCAACTCCACAGCTTCGCGTATTTCTTGTTTTTGAATGTCACATCCTCCAATATCCTGGTAATATCATAATATAAGAAAATTATTTTAAAGAACAGCTAGCATGAAAAGACGGCAGATATATGCACACAATGTAAATTCATTACAGTTCAGCTCATAAGTCAGTATGTTAGCAGATCTCAGGAAAGCTGATAGTATAATTGGTCCTCTCCAAAATCAAAACAAAAGAAATCCAACCAGCAATTAATGTAAATTACAACAACACTTGTTCTTCACGTTCAAAATGTTCTAGCCACATTGATGTGTTCACATCCACTGTCAACACAGGCGGACCGAAGCCAACAGGGACCACAGGCACGACACAGAAGAAGGAAACAAAGAGGACTCTTATTAATTGGTAGTGCGCACGAAACAGGGACCACATGCAGTGCCCACGACACAGAAGTCCTAATTATTTGGTAAGTTCAAAATATTTTTACTCCCATCTATCTTTGATTAATGTTTCTCTTATTTTATGCTTTCTAGTCTCCTTTCGTTGTACAACTCTTAACTTTTAAACTCTATTTGGTCCTCTTCTTTATTATAGACTATTCATTTTGGAATTAATTAAAAGGTAGTTGGGGTTCTAATTAAAAAACCCTCCCCCTATTAGTATTCTCTTTGTGTTTGCTTCCCTGCCTTCCTCGGCATCTCTATTCCCATTGTTGATATGCCCTGTGACATTACGTCCGGAAACATGACAAGAGCAGAACATAACAGTGTTACACAACACCTGCCTATACTCTATACACTATCCTCCAATACGATAAGAGGTAACTAATCCATTGCTTGCTTGTCCCACAAGCCATTGGCGTTGATCTATTCTGTTCTAAATTAGCCCAAGTGGTATAAAGTGGACAAATGTTTTCAAATATTCACACTTCAATTGTCATTGCTCCAAAGGTTAGAATTCATTGTTTTTCCCCCAAAAGTCATTGGTAATAATGTAACATTTCTACTTCAAGAGGCATAAAGCCATAAATTGGACAAATATTAAAATGAGAAAATTGTCTTCCAATCCAAATTACAGTAGAAGGAAAAAATTGCTTAAGAAATTTCTTAATTGAAAGTACAGACTTCCAACACGTACCACAATTTCAAGGAGCTCTTGTTGGTTAATTCCAGTCCAGAATTAAGTTTAAATTTATAAATAAAAAAAGGACAGGCAATTAGGCAGTTACAGGCAGTTTTATGACAGTTTCCAACAGATGTGTTGGTTAGGAACTGTTGTGTCTATTTGTAATGGTTGTGTTGTTTAGTCCTCTATTTATATGTATGGAAACATAGTTCTGGACAGCAGTTCCACAATAAAAAACACTTTGTTTATATACTCCAGAGTCCAGATCTGATTTCTATTCTCTCAATTGGTATCAGAGCCCTGGTTAAGAAAAAAAATCAAAAACACAGATCTGTGATCAGTAGTAGTCTTGCAATACGCCTGAAAAACAATAGTCTGTGATGGAGGCCATCAATACTAAGAAAACAAACGATGTTGTTGCTGTTACCCCAGTTCGAGATGGAGGCTCGACAACGTACCAATGTCCTGTACTCACTACAACGAATTATACATCTTGGGCTATCAAGATGCAGTCGTTTATGGATGCCCAAGGAATTTGGGATGCCATAGAACCACCGGATGCGACGGAGGTGGACGTCAAGATCCGGAAGAAGGCAAGGGCCTTTATCTTCCAGGCACTACCGGAAGACATTCTGATGCAAGTAGCAGGACATGCAGAGGCCAAGGACGTGTGGGATGCACTCAGGGTGCGTT